TCATGTAATGAGCTGCTAGAGGGTGTGGGGGGCCACTGCCCCGTCCTCCAGGGCATGAAGCAGGTATGGAGGAGATCAAAACTCCAGACATCCAGAGGCCCCCAGAACACAAGAGACCACAAAACTTATCCTTAAGTCACACTTTGAGTTCTGCATTGATTAGTTCACTCTTTATTTCCAGATGGAGCTTTAGGTAGACATACAATGAAATAATAATTATTGCTATATTTAATTTCAGTTTTGTGTTTGCTTGTGAAGGCAGAGGGCCACCTCCCCCTGCCTCTACTCACTGTTATTGCTTGCTCAAAGGAAATTGTTGGATTTATATTGGAAGGTATTGCGATGTGAAGTGCTGTGAGATGACTGTTGTTGTGAATTGATTGATAAAAACCTAAAATAAAGTTCATGTACACACAGACACACACCGACACACACACATTTGCACATGTACAAACTACAGGCAAGACTTTTTTTCTATACTCCTGATGAATGTCAATGGATGGCTGATTAATGGGAGGCTGAACAGAGGTAAAAACAGAACAGAAGAGCAAAAAAGAAACTTAGAGACGAGTATTGAGCCACCTTCTTTGTGATCAATACAGAATCAGACAGACTAGCTGATAGCTATAGACGCTTCCATCCAACTTCATCTACACGATTAGGCTGGTTTTCGGGGCTTGCTGTCTTCTATTTATACTATTTCATATTCCACGGTGATGAGTTTGTATGCACAAAAGAACACGATTTTAATGGTTATCCACAAACCACAAAGACTCATTGTAATGCTGTAGTCAAAGCAATTTAAAGCACAGCAGCCTATATCCCTGTACTCTAATACATACAATGTGAAAATATAATGGAGCAATACTGGAACACTTCAGAGAATTTGGAGGTGCCTGGGATTCAACAGCCAACCAGAAACTCCATCTTTAATACAAACATGCAGGTAGGCATCTTAAATAAAGGTTCGTGAAGAAGAGAAATATAAACATGTGCTACTTTGTTACTTTTTGAAACCAGCTGGACTGTTAAATACAATCTGGCCAGCTGCTACCCCAGCAGCACCTCAGGAAGGGATGCTGGCAAGACAGCTGGTTCTCAAGCGTGGCGACCATTCAAAAGGTCAGTTTTGGCTTGGACTCAACGGCTGGATGCTTCAGTAGACATTATGACCTACTGTCCTCTCAATTCTGGTGTAAATCTTTGAGTTAGACTCTAAAAAGTTTACTTTTATTTCAGTAATATTTGGAAACAAAATGCTGCAATCAAAGCAACATGCTTTGCAGAAGTAGGTCAGAGAAGGGCGTGCACACTGAAAGGTCAGTGGCCATACTAATATTTATGTTCCCCTTGTGATAATAAAAAATGTGTGATGAAATTCAGAAGTTCACTTAACTTACTGCTCAATAACTCTCCAGCTACCATTTACTTTGAGTTATTTAAGTAAGGTGGAAAAAAAGACTTCAGGTCATAGGATTAAATAACTGAGTCAGAAACAGAGATCATAAAAGTCAAATTATACACGAAGGACCGTGCATTTAAAGATATATTAAGAATTATTGCATTTTAAAGAAAAATGTAAATCTTATTAATACATTCTATTGAGTTCTATTGTGCTTAGAGCGCTGTGCTTTCATATGCATCAGTAACATATGACAGAGTAACCACAGCAACACTCAGTTCTCCAGTGGAGTCGGTTACAGAGAAAGAAAGCGATAGAAAAAGAAAACTAGGCATACGACAGTCAGAGAGACCAGGGAGAGAGATGTATTAAGCATAGCATTATTCCACAACATTGCACCCTCTTGCTTGCAATGCCACAACACAACGCCCAGCGATTCACTACGCCACTCTCAGCAGCCACACAGCTTAAATCAACACACAGCATCCTCTGCCCTTCCCAGTGAACTCCAAAGCATGCATGCATGTCACAAGTGCGGTAGCTGAAAAGTGCTGTTTTCACCTAGTGCATCTATGCTACACTATTGTGTGAAATTGAAATATTGAAACTCAAACAACTAATGAATTCAAACAATACATGAAAAACTTGTACTAGGACAGAAATACATCTCTGTTGGCAAATCAAAGTTCAAAATCTGAGAATAATCTACTTAATATTGTTCTTTCAAGTGCCCTTTGGAAAGACTGAGGACGATTTGTAAAAAGTGAGATACAAATCTACTCTAACAAAAACACGCTATGCATGTTGTAAATGTGTTATGGGGCAGGAATCCCACAAACATAATCCCTGATGATGTCTCTAGTCCACGGCGTACATTACTGAACAGCAGCATTACTCTGAAAGAGTTACACTGCCACACAACGTTCTTCACAAATCTTCCAGCTGCCTCCCTTCACAGATAGTAGCACTTAAGAACACTTGTCCATCGTGATAAGGCTGTCAGTGATGATGTATGTATGCGTCCTCAGCAAACGCGTTTCTGCATTCACATATTTAACCCCCTAACACCAAGTTTGTCATATTTGATACATACAATGTTTGTGTGTTTTTGAGAATTACATGATCAGTGTGATTTTTTTCCGCCTGAAAAACCTAAATGAATTGCACAATATATTATTAAGCAATTAAAAAACCCACATGTAGCAATGATCTACAGCTAAAGCATGCCCCTGTTTCAAATTTTAACACATACACAGTCATTTACATGCATAAACACCAACACACTGATAAAAACAACACCTATACATACACAAGGTGTCAAACTCATACCATCTAGCTTTAGTTGGTATTTAGCTAAAAATGGTGAATGCTGCTGATAATTACTTTCATGTTATGATGGAATAAATGGCAGGGTTGACAAGCTATTTCATTACTGCCAGAGCAGCATCTAATGGACTGTAATGTCCTACCTGATCTTTTCTTGTGCCACAGCAGGATGTAAGCCTAAACACATCCTGCCTTTTTGGAAAATACTGTTTTTACAGGCATAAATCCATATCTCATTATTTTTTGCTTTTCTTAGGGACCCAGGGTGGCCAATTAATGGCTATTTCTAATTATTTAATTTCAAGGATTTGTGAAAAAAAATTCTGGTCTTTTTAGTACAAAGTGGTACTTGGCCTACAACAGCATGCACAGTTGCCCAAAAAATAGTTTTACTTTTAAAACTTTATCATAAATAATAAAATTTAAAAAGCTGATTCAGTTTGAGAGTTTTCACTGTGATCGTCTAATATTGTCACAAGAACATCCTATACCTTAACGTTGGACAGACTGTCAAGGACTGAGAATAATTAAGAAGTCAGAGAAGAACGGACTGATGAATAACAATGAGTCTTTATGACCTGACCTCCATGAAGATATGCAATGAGGTCAGGAGTCAAGGTCAGCTATAGCATGGCTGGAAACTCTGAGGGAATCATCATGCACAAAGTTAGTTGAGGAAGAATAGTGCATAAATTTATTATTATTATTATTTTTAATCACTTTGTTTTTGAATATTTTTTAAATGTTTCTCACTGAGTGGTGTTTATCAGAGCTGAAATAAATCTGAATGCAGACTCATTCAAGCAAAACAAGGGAGACGATGGTCAATGGAAAACAGCCAAGTCTCGTTAATTTCCTTTTTCTCCCATTATGCTCAAATTCTGATAACAAGCTTGAAATGAGGTTCAGTTATTGGATTTTCCCATAAAACATGTACAGTATATAAGCATGTACATTCTGTATATGAACAAAAACAAAAACTGACATGAGCTAAGCTTGAACGTCTATCTGCCTTTATTTCGAGATTGATGCTCATTACCGGGTAACAACGTTTTGATTTACAGGAGAAACTTATTAATGCAGTTTACT